GATGATTTTCAGTATTTCTACAGAATCTGTAGTGATTTTGCCTTTTTCACTCTTTATTGTGTGAATTTGAGCTTTTTCCCCTTTTTAAATAAGGATGGCTACGGGCTTATCAATTTTATTTATTCTTTCAAAGAACCAGCTCTGATTCTTATTTATCTCTTCTGATCATTATTAGTTTGAAGTTCACATTGTCTGCAAGCAGAATAGCTACACTCACTTTTTTTTTTTTTTTTTTTGGTTCCTGTTGCATGAAGTATTGTTTTCCATGCTTTGACTTTCAGTCTGTGAGTATCCTGTTGGGTAAGATGAGTTTCTTGTAGACAGCATATGGTTGGATTTTGTTTATTGATCCATTCTGCCAGTCTGTTTCTTTTAATTGGTGCATTGAGACCATTTACATTAATGGTTATAACTGTTACATATTGGTTTATTGTTAACATGTTATCTTTCTGCTGTTGCATCTTTATCTTTCTGTTCTGTTTAATTGTCTGATTTGCTTAGTAGTTTTTTCTTAAGTGTATCTAAACTGTCTTTCAGTATTCTTTGCAAGGTTGGCTTGGAGATCATGAAGTTCTTCAGCTGTTCTTTTTCATGGAAGTATCTCATTTCTCCATTGATTTTGAAGGACAGTTTTTCAGGGTACACCAGTCTAGGTTGGAAATCATTTTGCTTTAGGATATGAAACACTTCAATCCATGTTCTTATTGACTTTATTGTTTGTGCCAAGAAGTATGCTGTGATTCTGATAGGTTTTCCTTTATAGGATCTGTCTTTTCTCTCTGACGCTTTTAATAATCTATTCTTTTGTTGGATTTCTGAGATGGTGATTATTATATGTCTAGGTGTAGTTTTATTTTGGTTATGGCTATTTGGAGTTCTATATGCTTCACTGAACCTCTCAGTTTCCAATCTCATGTTTGGGAAATTTTCAGCTATTATTTCTCTAAATATCCTCTTGACACCCTTTATGCTGTCTCCTTCTTTTTCATTTATCCCTATCAATCTTATGTTGTTTTTCTTTGCATCATTTTGCAGTTGTTGAATTATTTCCTGATTCCTTGTTATTTTTAAAAGATCTTTCCTTTCCTGTTCACTAGCTGCACTCTTGTCTTCGAGGTCTGAAATTCTATCTTTACTTTCATTGAGGTGCTTTTTAAAACTTTCAATGGAATTTTTGCTTTCGTGTGTATCTCTTTGCATCTGTTTCATGTATTCTGTTTGTTTCTTATATTGTTCATCCAGGGATTCTACCTTTTGCTTAGTTCCTCTAATTTTTTAACTTTGTCTTCTTTAGATATGTTCAGCATCTCTTTCATTTCTTTTATTATTTCTTCTTTTACCTGGGAGATTATTTCTATTTTGAATTCTTTTAAAGCTTCCCAGAGTTGCTTCTTTATTTCAGTTGCTATTATGTCCAATATTTCAGGTGTATGGCATATATTTTCTTCTATTCCACAGATCCTGAGGTTTCTTGGGATGGGCTAGAGGTTTGAGACTGTAATTTAGTGTTTTGTTTTGTCATTTTTGTATATTTCTGTGTTTCAAGTGTTATTCCAAGGCTTCCCCATGGCCTGTTGGAATTCCTCTTCTATGCCCTCAGCTCCTGGAACTCTGGCCACCCAGTTCCCTGGATTGAGAGAGGGTCAGTGGGGATGGGACTTGCCCGTTCAAGACCTGCAGAGCTGGTCCAGTGCAACAGGAAGCTTCGAAGTTCCCTGTCCGAGGCCAAGCAAGGATCCCAAACTAGCAGGGCTCAGGGGATGGTATGGGGACACTTACCCCAGACTGCCCAGCCTCTGGAACCAATGGTACTGGCCAATCTCTATTTTAATTAGAATTAGGTTATTGTCTCCAACTCACCAATAGGCAATGTTGAACCATGTCTTGAAGTCAACTGAACCTCAGATATTTTCCTATGGAAACAAGTATCATAATCTACACTTAGTCTTTTTAGACTATTACACAAATCTTACTTTTACCTTCTATACCCATTCATAGCAGGACAGTAAGAATCAACCATTTTATCTTTTTTTTTCCAGTCACTTTCTGCACACTGGGACAAAATAGTTCACACTCATAACATAAAAGGCGAGAATCTTATCATTTTTTATGTTCATGATCTGCGGTTCCAAGGCAGAAATAGCATGGTGGGATGGCCTGAGTGGAGTAAAGTAGTTCACATCATGATGGCCACAATGCAGAAATAAAAGGGAGGAGCTAGGGAATAAGCTACTATCTTCCAAGTTATGTGCCCAGTAACCTGCCAGTCATCAGGCCCCTCCTCATCACTTGATTACCACACTGATCAAGTAGAGTACCCCAATGATCCAAATACCTTCCAAACACATGAGCCTTTCGGAGGACACTCAGTATACAAACCATGCCATTTCACCAAAGACTCATGTGCTTCTCTTTATGCAAAATGTACTTGGCCCATCTCTATGAGTCACCACAATTTCCACAGCATTACTAAACAGTACAAATCCAATGTCTCCTTTAAGATTCAAGAAACTCTTAGCTGTGAGCTTCTGTAAAAGTTAAAAAGAAAGTTAAACACTTACAATGTATGCAGCACATTTTGGGGTGAGATATGATTTCCAAAGGGTTTGGACAGTCGCACCCCACAGCACCGCCAGTTGTTCCCTCATGACCTCTCTGTTAGGGTGACTTTGCTCGCTGCCTCTGACTTTCCTCAGCAGATGTTCTACTTTCCTGGCTTCTCCAACACCCTGGGGTCTCCGCTGCACTTCTGAGTTTATGCATTCATTCTGTGTTATTTTCTTAGTACATGTTTCTAATGCACACAGTTCACAACCATCTTGAGGAATGATTATATGCACACATTACAGCTTGTTTTATTTTTTGTTTGTTTGTGTATTTGTTTTTTTCCCTTCCTTTTCCTTCCTTCTCCCTCCTCCTCTGGTTCCCCAAATCCCCTCTGGTCACCCCAATTTTTAATACTTGTTGATACTATTTGTTTGGGCACAAGTTATGGCTTGCAATGTTTGCACTGATTTGGGTTATTAGGTTCCTGTATTTGACATATCTTCATTTGACTCACTTCCTCTTCCTCTGCCCATTATCCCTGTTCTTGTTCCCTCAGACTTTTCTCCTTTTGGACAAGATCTGTCTCCTTGTCCCTTTCTACCTATTTTTTGTCCTTTTCTTGGTTTATACTTTGCATCACTCAAATGAGAGATACCATATTGTATTCAAGCTTGTATATCTGGTTTATTTTCACTCCACATTATGTTTTCCAGATCCATCCATTTACAAATGCCACAAATGTGTCCTCTCTAGCCATGGAGCATTCTGCTGTATATAGATAGCACATTCTGTTCATTCAGGCATCTGTTGATAGATATACGGGAGGCTGCTTCCAGAATTTAGCTATAAAAAATTGTGTTTTTATAAACATTAGTAGACAACATCACTGCAGTGTGATGACTTTTTGGCTTTGTTCTTACAGCTTCACACAGAGTTCTATCAGGGTCACATTGCCTGGCCTCCCAGATTTCTTCTGAAATTGGGGTGGAAACCTCATGGGCCTACCACTAAAACAGCACTACTGGATGATTCCAAGGTCTACTGCCAAACTGAGCAGTAGTCATCCCTCTTTGGGTCAAGAGGAATCTGATAGCTGAGATGACTGAGCACTATGAAAGAAAACTCAGGTAACCAATTCCCAGGCTGATCTATAGGGCGGGCTTGTGGTTCTCTTCTCAAATCAGAATCCTTCAAAGGCATTTCATAAGCCTCTTGAAGAGCGGGGTCTAGGTGATAGATGAGATGCAGTCAAGCTGTTTTTCCCGTTGTCCTGATGTAAAGTCCATGGCTTTTTAAATGCTAGTCTTTTTGGCAACCACCTTTCATCTAACTTTGCAGGTGCTTACTCTTCTGACAAACCTCAAAACTTTTCAAATGAGCTATTTCCTCCCAATTGTCACTGTCAACCTAGCTGAAGAAAGCCAGAAGTACCCATGTCACACCCTAAATTTTAAAGTTCCTGGAAATTTCCTTCAGCAGATAAATTAATTCACCACTCTTATTGTTAGTCTCCCTCAAAGTCTTAGGATGTGGGCAAAATATAGACAAATTCTCTGCCACACAGTAACACCTAAGGTCTGGTGTCCAGCTGCCAACTCAGTCCATGGTTCCCAGCTGAAATCTCTGGAGTCTGATTTTTACTGCATTTCTATCATCATTCTGGTCTTCTGAGATCTGATAAGCTTGGCTTACTGCTTTTTAGTTTTTCTCTAACACACCAGTGTCTGCAAACATCCAAACTCCACCCACGAGGCATTTCAAAGGCTTCTGAACCACATGGCTGGATGCAGTCATGGCAACAACCCTGCCTCTTAGTACCCAAATCTGTCTTTGTCACTTTCTGGAAGCTGGTACAAAATACCCAATATCCACAGTTTAGAAGAAGAGAGGTTTGTTTTGGCTTACTTTTTAGTCCATGGTCTCTTGGCTCTGCAGCCCAAATGGAAGAGTGGAAGAGACTGCATGGAGGCCAAGTCAGATGTCCAGGAAGCACGGAGAAATGAAAGAGCCCAGGGGGAGGAGATACACCCTTCCAGGTCATGCCCCCAGCGACCCGTCTCTGACTAAGCACTGTCTGCTGACCACAAGTCTTCTGGGACTCTTTATTGGACTAATCCACTGGTGAGTACAGCCTGCAAGGATCCACGTGTCTTCCAAACACAGGAAACTTTCAGTGCCAGCTCTGAACCACAGCAGGTTTCTGCAATTGGAGAACTTCATTCCTTTGAGCAAGGAATACCTTACTAAATGATGCTTCTCTTGAGTGGAAAGTAGGTACTGAGCAATGAGCAATCAGAAATATTTCAAGTAATAATGAGATGTGCAGCTAAAATAAAATCAAGTGGAATAAAATAGAAGCATCCCAGAAAGAAGAGGTAAAATCGAGCCTGCCATAACTCCTTTGCTACATGCCAACCAGAAATATCCCTGACCCAACAAAGTCCTGACCTTACCTCTTATGCAAAGCCCAGTGCATTCATCTTGCTTCTCTACTTCACAATTCCTGTCTGACTTTCAATGGCATCTGAGTAGAATTTATTAGGTATTAGCTGCAAAACAGTCTAGAAGCATTTTGAGATCAGTCGCTGATTTACATTACTTTATTTCTTCATTTATTAATTTGTGTATGAAGTTGTTCTGTACGTCTACACTGAGAACACATTACATATAGCAGGCATTGCAAGATCTACTCAATAACTAAATTATAACTAAATGTTATTATTCATGTTGATGTTTCAATTTATGTCAAATACTATTAAAAAGCTGTTGCTTTAGATGTGAGTCTTTAAAACCATGGTCTTTAGTGGCAGTAGAAACCAGTTACCGTGACAAAGTAACAGGCCTACAGACTTCGCCAACTGTTCTAGACATCTGTATAGTCACACCTGGGGGAAGAGAGGAGAAAATAAAACATATCACAATCAGCAGATTGGGGCAGGAAGATCAATACAATTTCAAGGACAGACTGGACTACAGAGCAGAAAAGAAAAGATGTAGTATAAACCATCACTACTTCTTCATAAATACAATGCTTGTCTTCATTTCATCCGATATGTCAAGAAAAATTACTACTCAAAAAAAATTACTGGACCAGCAAAATATTTACTAATAGTATAAACACTTTGATTTCTGTATAATGCAAATTTCTATCAAAAGAACAAAACTGATTATCAAAACTCATAATCAAATTCATATTATTTCAAAAGAGAACTTTGGTATCAAAAATTAAACAAGTGAAGAGAATAATACAATGTATATTGAAGTTACTCATGGACAACTAGCATTTCAAATAAAGGAAATGAAATAAAAAGTCATTCTTCACAAATACTGCTTTGGATACAGGCATATCTGTTAGAACGTATGTTAGAAGAGATTATTTTTCTGCCCAATACAATTTACCAAAGACTTTATATGAACCAGTGCTTTTAACTAATGAACCACTGGTGTTTGCTCTCTGGATATGTGCACTCTAATCCTTTCAATATCCACCTCCCATTTCTCTTCCAAATCTTTTCAGTCTCTCCAATCTTGTCTTGCTCTTAGACTAATGAGAAACTAGATTCCCTAGACCGATTACTCATCTGAAAAACACATAAGCAGAGTTCTCAAAAGAAAGTAGAAAACCTTGTTAAGTAATTTAAAGACTTGTAGTTTTGTAAGAAGTGGAAGTAAATGTTAAAGAGGCTTTGTGTGTGTGTGGGGGGGGGTGCTCTACTTTAAAAATGTTTCTTTGGCACAGTGACTATTCAGTGTCCTTTAGAAGCTATTTAGACAAATATTTGTATTGAGGGAATAAAAATTTCATGTTGCAGTCAAAGGATTATACAGTACCAGTCTGGATATCACGGGAAAGTGACAAGTTGTTATATACCTAAATGCTGATTATGTGATAACCGGCTCTGAATATATTTTTATGTATAAACACTTTTTCACTGTGCTCTGTGTAATGTTCTGAAACGTCTTAGAAAGAATAACTTACTCTACATGCCACTCTGTTTTCATTTTAATGTAAACTTTACAGTGCATGCTAACAAACATTTACATAAAATGTGCTTCTTAATAATGTTTTTCACTTTCTATCTATAAGGAACATTTTTTACATAGGAAAATTAAGATTTACCTTCTCAACGAAAAAGGTCTAAGAATTATTGCAAGAAATTTATAAATTCTGGAACATTAAAAAATTGGTGACATAAAAGTGAGGAATTAAATATTTGAGGGATATAAATGAAGCAAAATTAAACTAGCGCAAGTGAAATTCTAGTATGAAGATTTTAAAATCTCCAAATGCTCATTTACTAATGAGAAATTATATTCATACTTTCTGTGTTAGACAATTCTAAATCTTAAAAACTTGTTACATTGATACTGATAATCACCTAATGACATGATTGCTGGATTCATACATATCTTTTCTAATTCAAGCACATTTTCTCCTGTTTGATGTGACTAATCTGCTGTGAAATATCCAAGCACTAATTTCTTTTTCTGTTATTGAACAGCACTTCTTGTAATAAACATAATCCGTGAAGCAAAGCCCTTGTTTTAGGGTAAGAAACATACCTGTTAGGCAGTAATATCTTTTTATGGCTCCAATCGATCACCTGGCTAAAGTGGCCTGTCAGATTTCTCAGTCAAAAAATGCAGAAGACTCCCAAGCTGTGCAGCTATGATCCAGAGGGTAAATTCAAGGACCCCACGTCCAAATAATCTGAAACCACATTTCAGGACTTTTCTAGAATCCCTCTAGAAGAAAGACAGCCTTACTGCAGACAAGAAAAAAAAAAAAAACCTATCAGTGAATTTCACCAAGTTAAATCTATTCTCAGAAAGCCCCAGGACAATTTGAGTTCATCACACATATTATCTCCATTGTGATTACTTGCTGTTTTAATTCTCACATGAAGCAGTTTTCTCCAGTAGAAATCATTCCCAGCAGGAAGTGATCAATAACTTTTTTATCTCCTAATCTCCCTGCCTATATTAACCCACTGGATGGATCTCTCTCTAATCTCATGGTAATTTTACATCAGCGACTCTATTTCCCTGCCTCTCTACCCTTCTTGGACTCACTCAAATTCACTACAAAATATTTTCAAATGTTTCTAGTGGACAGATGTTTGCCAGGCCATTGATTCCTTCCTCCTACTAAATAGCAGCCCTTAGACAACCTGCTAAAACTGCCCTGCATGCTTGTACCAGACGGAGGGCTTTGATAAGATGCCAAACAGAAGGGCACAGATGGTTCCAGTACCTTCTCTCCTTTCTGTGATCCAACAACCTCACATTTAAGAAAGACTCAGGAAGTCTATTTAACAATATATTTTTTCCAATAAACTTACTTAATAAAAAAGGAGTTTATTTCTAACTATGCTTCTTTCATTTAGTTACTTTTGTTTCAATTTTAAGTTACTTGTACATTTGTAGATTTTGATTGCAATGACCATTTTTTACATCCTGTTCACAAAAATTCTGAAAATTAACAATCAGCTCTCAAGAACTGGGGCAAACGAGCTGTAGAACTCTAAGAAGTGAATGCCACAGTTGATTTTTAACACATTAGAACTATGTGTTTTCTTTACATAGTCAATAAATTGAGGAAGAAAAAAGCATTATTCTAAATAGGCAAAAGAAAAAAGTATTTTTATGAATATTCTCTCAACCAAGCTCATTACCAAAGCCTGCCAAATTTCACTAGGAAACCAAAGGCCAACTTGATTTGTGAAGTAGATTGAAAATTCCACCAAATGTGCATGCATGATTTTTCATTACCTCCCCAAAATACTTAAACCACAACTGATAAAACATTAGCAAATCATTTTTAGTATTCACATTTAATTGACTTCTAAATTTTTATATCTTTATTTAATTGCAAGACGTTCTCCTAATGAAATGAGAAACACTAGTTTTTGTCACTCTAGAAATCCCTTTATCCCATATAACATCTATACATTCCAGGCTCAGGTAGCATTTCAAATTGACTATAATTTGCCTAAATAGAATCATCTTAATGGGAATTAAACCACATTTAAGTTATTACCAAGCTACACTACACTTCCTTTGGGTAAGATAGTTAAGTGATTTTGTTGGATAAATTCCTAGAATTAGAACTGCTCATCAAAGGTATTTTAATTCTAATTAAAACTTCAAAAGTCATTTTCAAAGTATAATATACCAATTTAAAAGCCTATAAATGTGTGAAAGTGGCTATTTCTTTAGATAATCTCGCTGAAAATTTTACCTCAATATTATTTCATTTAACATGTTTTAAATTGTGAGACAATTTATTTTAATAACTGTTTACGGATTGTTTGTATTTCTTTATATGGAACATTGTTTTCACACAGTTCAATTTTCCTCTTGACTTGTTGAACATCTTTATGATTTACAAGAAATAGCAAAAACTACTTGGGAAAACAAAATATTGCAAAAAGCACTGTCTGAAAACTAATATAGGAAACAGTAATTGGGTATACAAAGTTTGCTATTATTGTATGAAAGTGATTTAGAGCTAATTAGTTGGTGATGTGATATGATAAAACCAGCATGCAGAGGGCTCAGCAACAGACAGAACACACATTATTCTTATATTTTGCAATTTCCTTTTATGCATCTCTTGGTGAGTAGATATCCCACTTACAATGTAGCTTAGTAAATTCTCTGGAATTTTTGAGCTCTCCTGAAAGAAGACTTCCAAACAAGATCTGAATTTATATGAATGTAAATCCTATGTTACAAAAATGTAAATGCTAAATTATAAGAATGCAAACCCAAAGGTCACACCTGAACCAGTTTTATGGCAGCAGTCTTACTTGGAAGAGAGCAACTCACTTCCAGCCAAGAACCAAAGCCAACCAGTGTGAGGAAGCATGCGTATCCCTTCAAGCACAGGGCCCAAGGGAAGCTGTAAGTCATTACAAGAACTCTGGGCTCGGTTACAATCAGTCCCACATGGTATAGAAAGAAAAAGCCTAGAGCCAAGGTGCAATCACCAGTGAGTAGTGTGGAGTCCCTGGATTTTCCACTTAACTATTAATGGAGATGAAGCAACATCTCTAAGTATTTTGTAAGTTTCAAAGGACTGTGGTATTATCTAATGGATTTTACTGTGCACTGTATTTTGTTACCTTTTAAACACTATTCCTTCATTATTCAACACAGAGATCATCATCATTATTGTATATAAAGCCATTTACAGCAATGTTACACTAGTGACTGCAATTTATTATATAGTTCTAATGTGTTAATTTGATATAATAAACAAATTCAGCACAGTGTAAAAATTATAAAAGCATTCAATTTTATTTAGCTGTAGTCAGGCCTTTCCAAAATAAAATAGATTGTGTATTTTCAACTTCTGAATTATTCAGAAGCTGCTGATGCAGCAACCTGGTTTTATTTTGTTTGTATGTTGTTTACCTTCGATTATCAATGCCAATAATGTTCATCTCTGTTTCTATCATTCTTTATTTTTAGGCAAATAGGCAATGTTCACATATAAAGAAATACAATGGTGAACCGTTTGGAAATACTGAGCCAAATTTTTGTTTTATTTCTTAGTTTTTTTCTGAGAGTTCTGTGCCTTAAATCACTGTTTAAAAGTGTTCAGTGATTAAATGTTAAAGTAAATGTGCACCTTCCTAGTTTCTACTAAGTCAATATTGCAGCGTAGTATATCCAAACACAATATTTTATTTTTATATATTGGGTCTTTAAATAAAAGAGAAAATATCTAGAAAAATTTAAGACTGAAATTTTACTTGTAAATACCTTTTAAATGTCCTCTGTAAATAGTTACTTAGAGGATATGAAATGTCATTGTTAGTTTTATGTGTTTCTAAACTAGCTATTATTATGTAAAGCTTTTGTGAGGTTTATGGAAAGCTTTCAGTGTTTAAAATTATCTTGAATTGGAAATTATCTTAACTTCCATAAAATGAAATCTCTAAAGGATTGTTTTGTAAACTAAAAATTTCAACTAAATGTGGCAAAATTAGCCTCCAAAACATTATAATTTGGTTCAATGATTTCATAAGAGTCTCTTGCACTATATATGTGTGTATGTGGCTTATTTGGGGGCTAGGGATGCCTGTATAGCAATGTGTGCATTGTTATATCTGTGCTCTTTAGAACAGTTCTTTCTTTCTATAAATGTATAAAATTGAATTCACATGCATTGTTACACATTTAAAATCTTGTAGTAATAAAAGACTACAAAGTGCTTTTATAAATATGCATAATTGTATTTTTACCATATGATGTCATAATTAGGTAGAGGTGCTGTGAATTTTGTTGATTTTAGATTTCTAATTTTACTTAATTGACACATAAATAGGAAGACTACACCAGTTTAACCATGCTAAGAAATTATTCTGCTTAAAAATAAGCTAACATATAAATATATTTAGAAAAAATATTTTGCCATCAAATTTATTTTATCTATCTAATGTTAGTGACACCAGACACTAAAGTGGCATATGCTTCTCTGGAATGAAGAGCAATTTTTTATCTTACTCCTTATGCTAATCCATACGCTCTGATTTGTATACATCAATCCTGTGCAAAATTCTATTATATATTAATTGAAAACTATATATAAAATTAAAAGTAGCTAACAAAGAGTATCATTTACATGAATTTAATAAGAGGATAATTCAAAGGTAATAGCATAAAATACAGAAAACTAGAACAGATTTCTCACATGTAAGACAATAATACACATTTAAAATGTCAATTAGGTAAATGAAAAGTACAAAACATTATTATTTTGAGTGGACTCACTGTACATAAATAGAATATGATGGGTGTTCATGCTATAGCAAGGGCTTTTTAAAAATATTACACAGCCCTATTCCATATTTGTTTCTGAGCTCTATTTTTTGAATCCCTAAGGCTACTTGTCAAAATCCGGTCTTCTTAAATTACACACTAAAATCCAGCACGCCTTGTAGATACCACACAATTCCCCATCTGGTGCTGTCATCACATTCCACACACTATTCTCTCAGACTTTTGCACATATTCTGTTGCTGTGTCCCAAAATGGATACATTTAGTCTATGTGAAAATAAAGACCCCTTTCATCAGACACATGCCTCCCACCACCCGAGAGACTTCCCTCTTTTCATCATCTCAAGGATAGATTGGCAGAAGTCCTGGATCCCATGGACTCTGCAGCCAGAAAAGTTGATAAGTTACATGTAAAATTGTCCTAATCTTATTTTAAATTGAACATCTATTATGTGTCATGAACTATGACAAGGACAGAAATAGATTTGTGAACAAAATAGATTCAGTCCCTGGCCTCAGAAAGTGTGTTTCAAGTGCAGTGTAAGATATTAATTAATCACAATGACAATTTTATAATTAGATAATTGATTTGTTTCTGGCTAGGATAACAAAAGTGCTGCAAATCAGGTAGTGAAAACAACAGAAAGTTATTGTCTGTAATGGATGCTGGTTGTCTTAGATCAGAGTATCAGCAAGGTTGGTTCCCAGTATGGGCCGGGAGGGAAAACTTGTTTCTCCAAGATTTTTGGAGATCCATTGGCATTCTTTGGATTGAAGACACATGACCTGATCTGTGCCCTCCTGTACCTAGCACAATGTGTGTATGCATGTGTGTGTGCTCAAATTTCATGTTTTAATAAGGACACCAGTTATTTTTTAGGGGATACTCCAAGGTAATTTCATCTTAACTACTTATATCTATTTCTGTAAGAGTCCAATGACCTTATTTCTGTAAGAGCCCAATGAACACACAAATT